TGTGTTTCAACACATGACTTATTAGATGTTGAATCATTGTTGGATGATTCGTCTGTCAAATTAGACTGTGCATTAATCTTTGGTGCTCTGGGAGGAGGGGTCACTGGGACTGGCACATACCAGATAAATCTTTACTGACAAGGAGTGAGCCATCAACCATCACACCTGCCATTGTAGTGAGGAAGACAAGCCACATGCAGGGGAAGTACTTACCATGGTGCTGGGAGACTATGAAGTGGAACCTCTGCCAGGGCTTCTGAGTAGTTTTAGAAAAATTGGGCTAGATGCAATAATGTCCTGCAAGTAAGTGCTCCTACAGGTCGCTGGCTCCCAGAGCATTTGAGACTTGCTTAGAGCTCACTGGGCCTGTGCCTGTCTTCTGGGATGGCAAAAAAGCTGACCACTTCTACCATGAAGCACTTTGTCTCTAGCCAGCCTCAGGCACCTGTGTCCTGTCCTGTCCTTGTAGCTGCCCGAGGAAGTGGGCCTCCCAGTGGCAGGGGAAGGGACCATGATTGCTTAGTGCATAGGAAGGCAAGAAGGGGTTGCTCCTAATGATGCTGCTGAGAGAAAGGGGACATGGAACACAGACCTACATCCAACCCCTCTGAGTATTGGGACCCACTCAGCAGAGGGGTGTGCACCTCTCTGAGCCTGCTCTCAGGAGGCAGGGCCAGGGATAAGAGGACAGTTATAGAGAAAGCCAGTCTTGGTCTGTTTGCATGTAGAAAGTGAAACACACACAGAGTATAAGACAGGAAGGGTGTGAGTGAGAATGGTGTCTGTGCATGCCCACGTCGGCTGATTCAGACCCAGGTGCATCTTCAGATGTCACAGGGACACAAATAGCTGCAAAGCTGGCCATAGGTCCAGGCTCTATGAGACACGGATGCCAGGGGAGCAGGACTGGCATCACTAACCAACTGTGGCTGTAGTCTTGACTTCACTTCTTGCTGGCTCGTGCCCTAGTGAGCCACTTCCTCATACTGCAGTCTCCTCTTGTCTGTCTGTGTGGGGTTGTTGAGAACACAAAATGAATCCGTGCACCAGAAGTGCTGGCCCATGGTCACAATCCCATAAATGACAGCATTAATAATAGTAAAGTTGGGGCAGGAGGAGGTGGAGGAGGGTACTTAAGTCAGGAAAATAACGAAAGTGCTGGAGAAGTGAAGTTAAATGTGGCAGGATTTGAGGACAGGGAGGAACTTTTCAGTAGCTTAACAGGATGGAGGAAGTTCTTGGGAAAGTATGGTAGGACAGTCTACCCTAAACTGAGGACAGAAGTATCTCCTCAGAACTCCAGAGCCCTTAGTTCCCAGCCTCCCTCTCATCTCTGCAATCCAGGCCACAGCCCACCCGCCATGCTGTGTGCTCTGGCCCTGGCCACACAGCTTTTCTCCTTTTTCTCCTCTTTCCCTTCCCAGACAGTCGGTATCTGACTCCGCTGGTGTGCATCAGCTTCATGGCCCTGACTCCAGTGTGGGTCCTCATTGCCAAGCAGAACCCATCCATCATGAAGATCCTAAAGTTCGGGTGGTTCCCAATCATCCTGGCAATGATCATCAGCAGGTGAGCTCGGGTGAGAGCCTCTGCCCCGCCTTTCCCTCCCCATGCCATCCGCTGGCTCTGTGGTCAGGAAAGGGGCCTGAGAGCCATGGAGCCCCTGGAAGAGGGTGATGCTCACTGCCCTCCTGTGGTCATAACGTGAACTGCAGCTATGGGCTCTACCAACTCCTGGTGCTGGTTGAGTCATACCTCCTCTCTCTCTCTCCCCCACTCCAAGAACCCTAGACTTGTTTGTTCTGAGAGACAGCCCTGTTTACAATTGCCAGAGCACCAGAGAGCCAGGAAGAGCTGAATCTGGAAACGTCAGATGAGCCCACTAGTGCCATGGCCCTCTGCCCCATTTTGGCACTGTGGGATACCAGGTCACCCATTCCCCTGCTGCCACCACTCTCACTGGCCTGAACCCCTGCTTAAGCTGCAGGGAGTCCCTCACCTGACCTCAAGGTGATGGCTCTATGAACACCATTTCCACAGCACAGCTGTTGGTGGGACCTAATGAGGCTGAGGGATTAATCCCCCTGGACTCTTGGGTCTTCAGCTGAGCCCAGGCCTTCCATTCTCCAGCCTCATTCTCGAGGGCCCTTTCCACTAGCAGACCCTGATGGGGCCACCTCAGTCCTTTCTGATGTGCTTTTCTAACTTTGACTCTCAGGGAGGAGAAGTTATGGTCTAGGTATCTTTGCTTCTGAGCTCCTTACACAAATAGTTCTCACTTCTCTGGGACCCTGGGGGCAGGGCAGCCTTTGCCAAACTACAGGGGCTGGTGGGAGTGAGGTTTTGCTGCAACATCTTCCAGGAACAAAAGGCAGGAGATGATACTCATGCAGGTTTATTTTCTGCTAAGGATCAGCTCAGTTGCAGTTCAGGGGCTGTCATGTCACAGAGCCCAGTCAGCTAAGTGGCCTTGGAAAGAAGTTTGTTGTTTGTTTTTAGTGGGCTGACATTATCTGAAGGACCTTCTAGAACAGCTGCAACTCAGACTAGAGATGAAAGTGCATGTGTAGGGTGCAGAGGACACTGGGGAGTCCAGCCTGGCTACAGCAGATATTTCATGTAGGGGTAAAGAAAGTGCTTGCTAAGTTGGGAAGACAGGCTGATAAGGCAGTTTATATAAAGAAGGTTTGCAAGGCCACTTATAATTGTAAACTCTAGTCATTTGACAGCTGTCTGCTCTCTCCCCAGTTTCGGAGGGCTCATCTTGAACAAAACCATTTCCAAAGAGCAGTACAAAGGCATGGCCATATTTACTCCCATCATATGTGGTAGGTATTGGCAGTCCCCATCACTGGGGGTCCCTGGGCTGGGTTGGTTCCCAGGGCCCAGGTGGTGGACCTGAGCAGCAGTGATGTCAGAGGTCCAACTCCAGGCCCTCAGAGGCAGAGTCAGGAGGTTGAGCAGGCAGAGGCTACTGAGCCTGGTTTTTCTCAGAGAGAAGGAGACCCCTGGGGAGAAGCCCTGTCTGTTGCTACCTGATCACACCCTGCTCCCCCTAGATGCCACTGAGGCCTGAGCTTTCCCACAGAGCTAAATCCCATGCCTTGAAGGCACACAGAATTTAACCCAGGATTTTCTGGTACCTGCAGAATGAATGTGGCTTTCAGAACTGGGGTGTTGGCTTCTCATGTTTTTTTTTCTTTTTTCTTTCTTTCTTTCTTTTTTTTTTTTTAGCTGAGCCATCCTGCTACCTGTTGGCAGCTCAGAGGCAACTCAGTTAAGGCCGGGCATCGAACCGCTGTTGCTCAGAGCTCAAACTCTTGAGCGAGCTCTTAACCAACTGAGCCACTTGGCC